CTGCACCAGGGGCCACACCTGGAACCCCAAATCTACATCAGATACTACACCTGCAGCCCCAAATCTGCATCAGATACTACATCTGGAGCCCCAGATCCACACCAGGTACCACACCTGGAACCCTGAATCTACACCAGGTACCACACCTGGAGCCCCAAATCTACACCTTCTGTGACATCTCAAGCTCTAAATCTTGAGCCCCAAATCTCCAGCAGATCCTGCACTTGGAGCCCCAAAGGAGCCCCGGGGGCCGCCCCCGGAGTCCCAAAGCTGCTGCTCGTCCCCGGCAGCCCCGGGGTTACCTGCGAGGTTGGCGACGGGCGGTTTGAACAGCGGCGCCGCCGCCGTCAGTCCCGGGAGCGCGGCCAGCGTTGCTGTGGGGATTGTCACCACCAGCGCGGGCTGGGCTGGCACCGGCCCGGCCACCTGACCTGCAACACTGATGGGGATAAGAAGAGGTTGAGTAACTGTCCCTGCCGGAACCATTACTCCTGTCACACCTGTGGCTAAGCTTTCCTGAGCCAACACCTGCGGAGATAAATGAGAGTTGAAAAGAAGAGAAGACAGAACATCAACGCCCGGGCAAAAGCAGCGCGCGGGGACAACACACCCCCAAACCTCCCATCCTCCCCCCCAAAAAAAAACCGGGACCCCCCCCTACCCCCGTTTCCACCCCCCAACACCCCCTCTGGGTGAGCCCGCGGCGGGGAGGGGCACGGGGGGAGAGGGGGAGAGCCCCTGGCCTGGGTGGGGGTGATAAGGGGGTGCCCCACTTAGCTGGAGACCCGGGGGGATGGGGGGGGCAAAGGGGAGCCCCCCGAGCTGGTGGGGGGACAAAGGGGATCCCCCTTAGCTGGAGACCCCCCCCTCTCCGTGGGGAGATGGGGGGGGGCAAAGGGGGCCCCCCTGAGCTGGTGGGGGGGGATAGAGGGGGATCCCCCTTATCTGGAGACCCCTCTTTATGGGGACATGGGGGGGGAACTCTGTTAAGGGGGGGCACCTTGGGGTCTGGGGGGGGATAAAGGGGGATCCCCCTTATCTGGAGACCCCTCTCCATGGGGAGATGGGGGGGGGCTCTGGGGTCCCTCCCCCCCTCCCGGGTCTGTGGAGACCCCTCTGTGTGTGGCCCCCCCTCCCCTGGCCACCCCCCTCCCCAGGGGTGGGGACATGGGGGGGACACGGGGGGGGATCCCCCTTCACCCGGTGACCCCCCCGCCCCCCCGGGGTCCCCTCTGTCCCTGTCCCGTGTCCCCATTTACCTGCGGGGGGGCCTGCAGGGCCAGCTGGGTCACGGGGGGCGGCCCCGGGGGGGGGCACCGGGGGGGGCGACGCCGGGGCCGCTTTGGGCTGACCTGGGGGGGGGAAACAGGGGGGGTCAGGGGGACACAGGGGGGACCCCAATTTTGCCCCCCCGGGGAAGGGACACCCCCCCACAGGGGTGAGGGGGCACAGGGGGGGCAGCCCCACACCGGGGCACCAGTGGGACCAGTGGGGGAAAGATCCCGGTACTGGGCACGGGGAGGGGGGGGCAGAGGGAGGGGACAAGGGAGGGACAGGGAGGGGACAGGACAGGGGATGGGAGAGGGGAGGGGAGAGTGGACGGGACAGGGGACAGGAGAGGGGACAGGACAGGGACAAGACAGGGATGGGATAGAGATGGGACAGGGAATGGGACAGGGAATGGGACAGGAGAGGGGACAGGGGACGGGATCAGGGGACGGGATCAGGGGCATCCCAAGGAAATGATCCTGGGAAGGATCAGGGGCACTCCAGGGAATGATCCCGGGAAGGACAATCCAGGGGCACCCCACGAATGATCCCGGGAATGGGGGGGGGGGTCTCTCACCTGCTGCCTCCCCTCCGGCCGAGTTTGGGGTGCTGGGGGGACCGTCCTCCCCCCCTGAGGGGCCCCCCTGTCCGGGGGCTCCGCCCGCCCCCTCCGCGGCGGTTTTGGGGTCCCCCTGGGCCGGGAGGGGGGTGTCCACCCCCACCTCCAGCACCCGGATGGTCTCGTGGCCCGACATGACGATCACCTGCAAAGGGACCCCAAAATCAGCTCGGGGGTATCACCTCCTCCCCCGTACCTCAAAAACAGGGCTGGTACCCCCAAAACAGGGTCTGTACCCCAAAAACACGGCCCGTACCTCAAAAACAGGGCTGGTACCCCCAAAACAAGGTCTGTACCCCAAAACAGGGTTGGTACCCAAAAAACAGGGCCTCTACCCCCCAAAACAGGGCTGGCACCCCAAAAACAGGGTCTGTACCCCAAAAACAGGGCTGACACCCCCAAAACAGAGCTGGCACCCCAAAACAGACCCTGCACCCCAAACAGACCCAGAAACCCCAAAACAGACCCTGCACCCCCAAACAGACCTTGAACCTCAAAAACAGATCCTGCACCCCCAAAACAGACCCAGAAAGCCCAAAACAGCCCCAGGAACCCCCAAAACAGCCCCTGCACCCCAAAACCTCCCCCGTACCTGCTCGTTGACCGTCAGCAGCGGCTCCGGGGGCTGCCCGGGCCGGGGGTCCATGGTGGGGGCACGGGGGGCACGGGGGGGCACACGGGTCACACCTGCCACATCCTGAGGGGACAGGGACAGGGGGTCACCACCGGGGAGGGGTTTGGGGGTCCCCAGGAGGGGTTTGGGGGTCCCCAGGGGGACAGGGAGGGGCTGTCACCTGCTGGGGGCAGGTTTGGGGCTTTGGGGCTCCCAGGTTTTGGTGCTCCAGCTTTATGGGATTCCAGGCTCTGGCTCTCCAGGTTTTGGGGTTTGGGGCTTCAGCTCTCCGGGTTTTGGGGTTCAGGGTCCCAGCTCTCTGGGTTTTGGGGTTCAGGGCTTCAGCTCTCCAGGTTTTGGGGTTCGGGGCCCCAGCTCTCCGGGTTTTGGGGTTCCTGGGTTTCAGGGTTCCAGCTCTCTGGGATTTGGGGCTCCCAGGTTTTGGGGCTCCGACTCTCTGGGCTCCGGCTCTCCAGGGGGACAGGGATGGGCTGTCACCTCCTGGGGATGGGTTTGGGGGTCTCCAGGAGGTGTTTGAGGGTCCCCGGGGGGGGTTGGGGGTCTCCAGGGGGACAGGGATGGGCTGTCACCTACTGGGGAGGGGTTTGGGGGTCCCCAGGGGACAAGTCGGTGCTTGGGGTCCCTCTCAGCTCCTTTGAACACCCTAAAAATCACCTGAAAACCTAAACCCTAAAACCTGAAAGTGGGACCCCAAAGTGGGACTGGGACCCTGAACTGGGACTGGGACCCCAAAGTGGGACTGAGACCCCAAATTGGACCTGGGACCCCAAAGTGGGACTGAGACCCTAAATTGGAACTGGGACCCTAAATTGGAACTGGGACCCCAAATTGGACCTGGGACCCCAAACTGGGACTAGGACCCTGAATTGGGACTGGGAACCCAAACTGAAACTGGGACCCCAAACTGGAACTGGGACTGGGACCCCAAACCAGGACTGGGACCCCAAATTGGGACTGGGACCCCAAACTGAAACTGGGACCCCAAACCAGGACTGGGACCCCAGACTAGAACTGGGACCCCAAACTGAAAGTGGGACCCCAAACTGGGACTGGGACCCCAAACTGGAACTGGGACCCCAAACTGGAACTGAGACCCCAAACTGGAACTGGGATCCCAAACTGGGACTGAGACCTCAAACTGAAACTGAGACCTCAAACTGAAACTGAGACC